CGAATATCAAGTAAATTAAAGTCTGCGCTAATTCTGATCTTTATGCTTCTTTCGATTTAGTGATCGACATAACCTGTCACAGATTTCAGACGTGCTTTTTAATGAATTAATTCGTCATATCATCCTATGTTCGTTGCACACGTTTATAATGATATACCATTGATGGAATTTTCTCTATATATGATGTTAGTTTCTGTATGTTGTACCTTTTTTGGTATCATTCTTGTAATTATTTGTAGATGTGATAATGTTGTAATTACGCACGAAAAAAAAACCACTTTTATACCTTTTGTTGCGAAGCCATTTGTTAGTTATTATGAAACTTACAGGAAAAGCTTTTCAAATAATATTTTTTTTTATTCATAATTTTCACAACATTTCATATCATAATTTTTTTTGGATTATCAGAATAGCTTATTCTGAAAGTGATTTTAATGTCCCTCGGATTATTTTCTTATGTTGTTTTTCCTTAAATCTTTTTTTCTTAATTCGATTATTTCTTTTTTTACTATTAATACCAAGAGAACGTATTAGAAATGAAACAAGTGAAACTTTAGTTAAATTGTTAAAATCATTAATTATTATTTGTTTTCTACCTCCTGTATTGCTTCAAATAATGATTGAACCAATTAACAGTTATTTTGTTACAACTTGACTTTATTTGGATTTATGCAGCTAGATTCATCAAATATTTCACAGATTCTGAGGCAAAAGATACCATTTTTAAAGGTTATTTTTATTTTATTTGTACTATGGTTTACGAATTTAGAGATAAACAAGAAGGATTTGGTGATGGAGCCTAATAAATTATCATTAATTAATTATTAATAATTAGTCGTGTTATTAATGATAACAACAGGATAGTTGGTTATGACTCTACGTGCGAGAAAGGGACAAAGGATCCTGAATATTCTTAGTAACCAATAATAGGAATATTTAAACTACCAAAAATATTTGTACTTCACATATTTGAATGTCTATATGACACTTGGATGAGTCCAACCAGTCAAATAAAGTGGGGAAACGATTTCATAATAGCGCTTTGCAAAAAAGGTGTGCTCTAAGGTTTATTCTGTGATGAGAAATTTCTGTGATTTTATAATTTTACAAGATTATGAAAATAACAGGGTCACACCTTTTTACAAACCGTCATAATATTATTGTTAAAAAATTTTATGTATAGTTTAGTTGAATTTCCAATCTCATAATGAAAGAAATTCTTTTGCGAAAATTAAAGAAAGCATTTCTATTAAATTAGTGAATATTAATGTATAATTTATCATACTGATACATGAAAGTTATTAGGTTCTGATTCTAAATAATTCATTACTTTATATGATATTTTGTGCATCAGACTAACGCTTGCGTCAGATTATATTATAGCTGACGCACCTCAAATGAAATTATCTGAGGTGCTTTAGTTGCTATCTGGCGCAAGGTTTTAATTTAATTAATAAACGATGCGATATATTTATTTTTAGCAATATAAATAATAATAATAATAAAACTTATAATATTATTAGAGAAATAAGCCGGTGCGCAGAAGAGAAGGTGTCAAAAAACGCGATGCTTCAATATAAAAAATGCTATTGGGTGCTAAAGAACTTAAAATACAGCAACTAGAGAGGGTAAAAGGCGTTAAAGAACTCAATATAAAAACTTGAGGTAGGGAAAAGATGTATAAGTAAGAACTCAATACTATAATTAGTGAGAGTAGAAAAGTGCTAAAGAGATTTGAGAAAATATAATATATCGATATATATTCCAAGCTAAAGAATTAAAAATAGATGATCTCATGGTATGGCCAGACCAATTGAATTGTGTTTTACATTATCCTTCTCTCTACTTTGAAAGGGGGTTAACATTGTAAAATTTTAAAAATTTTTAATTTTCCGAAATGTTCCGTTAACTATAAAAAATTTTTCCGAAATAACTCATGTTCTATATATATTAAATGAAACGAAAAAATAAAAATCATAAATCATAAATCAAAAAAGGAGCACATGGGCAAGAAACAAAGCTGAAGCCATCATACTAGTGCACAAGGGCTCTTATATTTACCAAACAATTATGATAAATAAACCCAAACCACAAATACATCTATAAAAAACATAACTTAGCATCCTTTAACAAACATTATAAGTCCTTCGCTATACTCTGGACAAAATTTTTTTTTTTTTTGAATTCAATCCAATAATCAAGATGGACTTATTAGTTAATAAAACTACTCGATGTTGCTGTTGCATTCCCTTGAGAAGTGGGGTTATCACTATAACACTTATATATGTGGTAAGTCAATTTGTAAAATAAATACCTGTATTTACTTTTTTTTCTTATTAACGTTAACGTTAATAATTTTTTTAAATATTTAGGTCGGATCAACATTTAGTGCTATCACTGATATATTATCACTCATGCGCAACAAGAGCAATGGTAAATATGATTTTTTTTAATTCATATTTCTTTCGTTTTTAAATGCCAATATATCATTAAATTTTATTATATAGATAATAGTGTAACAATTGCAGATTTAGTTATAAACAGCCTATTCTTTCCGGTATTTATCTTTGGATTTGTCATTTGTTGTTTTACGGTATGTATTATGAGTTGTGATTATGTGAGGCATCGTAAAACATTTATATCAAAAGTTAAGTTTTTACGGGTCTCTGGCACAAAAGGCACTTTTTTGATTAACTATCATCATTTTACGCCATTAAGAAGTTTGCTTATATTCTTCCTTTTTTTTATATATATATAAGAAATCAGCTTATCATTTAAGAATATTTGCTATTTTTTTCATTATTTACACGCTTGTTTCTATAATTGAACTCATTTTTGGTGTATCTAAAAATGTGACTGTAAACGAATGCAGTGAATTATTAGTAACTGATGGATCTTCTATCCATGATACAGTGGGTTTTTGTGAAGATAATTATGATAAATATGAAGCTCTATATATCGTCGGTTATACTTTGACTATTTTTATTATGGTATGTTTGACTTAATTTTATATATAATCATTTTTAAACAATAAGAAATTATTAATTATTTATTTAATTATTTATTCGTGGTCTATAGATTCATTTTGCTTTGGTTGTTTCCGCTTATGCTGCAAAATGTAAAGCTGAAGAAGATCGTTCAAAACAAGAAATGTCAGAAACAAATGGTTCTTAAGCCTATTAAATTCTGGCCTAAGGTGTTACTAAAAAAAACCCAATAAGATAAACAAATGTGATTTTATCTTCTTTTACTATATAATAGAGTTTTTTTTAAATTGTTTATTCTGTAAAAATCACTTCATTTGATATTACAAAATAATAAGTAAAATTCCCTTTTTTTATTAAGGTATTTTTTGTAACGGAAATACGCATGTAAGAGTTAATCGTTTAAAGACAAAGGTGAATGAATGTGGAATTGATACGAGATTTATATAAAATAAATTTTAAAAGTTTAATTCCACATATAACAATATACTAGAATTATTAGAATCTAGATCCTATAATCAAAACCAATAAAGTGCATATTATCATCTTAACCGTTACAAATGGGGGTGAGTCAATAGAAACGCACCAAATCTTTTTTAGTGAAATATTTTTGCAACTTTAAACAAAGATAACTTGACAAGAA